GTATGGTATATATGTATGTATGGTATGTATGGTATGTATGTATGGTATGTATGTATAGTATGTATGTATGTATGTATGTATGTATGGTATGTATGTATGTATGGTATGTATGTATGGTATGTATGTATGGTATGTATGTATGGTATGTATGTATGGTATGTATGTATGGTATGTATGTATGGTATGTATGTATGGTATGTATGTATGGTATATATGGTATGTATGGTATGTATGGTATGTATGGTATGTATGGTATATATGGTATGTATGGTATGTATGGTATGTATGGTATGTATGGTATGTATGGTATGTATGGTATGTAATGTCTGTAATATCTGTAATGTTTGTAATGTTTGTAATGTTTGTAATGTCTGTAATGTCTATCTGTCTGTCTGTATGGAATGTAAGGTAAGGTAATGTAAGGTAATGTAAGGTAAGGTAATGGTATGTATGTATGTATGGAATGTAAAGTAAGGTAATGTAAGGTAATGTAAGGTATTGTAATGGTATGTATGTATGTATATACGTAGGTATGTAGGTAGGTAGGTATGTAGGTATATATGTATGTATATACACCACCACAGGGGCATCATACCCCCCCCCCATCCTATGGGGGGGGAGGAACACGGGACACGGGACCATATATATATATTAAAAAATATTATTTATAATTTATATATTTTTTTAAAAAAAATATTTACCAAAGAATTTTTAATAAATTTTATTAATTTCCATAAATCAATAATCATCCTAATTTCCATCAATAAATAATATTTTTATATAATATTTATATTATAAATATATTTTAAAAATAAAATAATCATATTATATAAGTATATTATTTATCTATATATATATATATATAATCCCGGCCGGCGGCCGATAACCCCCCCTCCAATGGTACCCCCCCCATATGTATATATTATATGTAAAATATATATATTATAATATTATATCATTATATATATAATTTAATTTACCTTCCCTTATATTATATTATATTAAATAATATTAAATAATATTAGATAATATTAGATAATATTACATAACATTATATATATATTATTACACACCTATACCATATACCTTGCATAATAATTAGATTCCAGAGAAATATACCCAATCCTAGGAACATATAAATACATAAGTATATACATACATACATACATTACATTACCTTACATTACATAACATTACATGACATTACAATACATACATACATACATAACTTAACTTAACTTAACTTACCTTACATTAGATGACATGAGATGACATGACCTGACATTGCATGACATTACATACATACATACATAACTTAATTTAATTTACCTTACCTTACATTGCATTAGATGACATTAGATGACGAAAAGGAGTAGAAAGAAGAGTTCCAAAAGATTAACTCCTGAATTTACTCCTGGGATAGTTACTTTCAAAACTTGGTACCCATTCATTCGAACTCTTGAGTTAATCTTTTTTGGATGATGACTTGCTAGGAAGACTTAAATCAAGAGTTAAATCCTATGTTTGGAGTGACGTTGGCCGGTAGCATTGCTCTGACTGATTAGTTGTCAGGAAGACTTAAATCAAGAGTTAATTCCCCCATAGTGTCCGCGGCAGGTTCTGGGAAGTTTGGGTGGGGAATAGTTTATTAGGTTTTGGAAAGGTTCCTGTGCAGTTCCCAGGAAGGTTCCGGTAGGTTTCAGACAGGTTCCCGTGCAGTTCCCGGCAAGGTTCCGGTGGGTTTTCCTGGCAGCTCGAAGGGTGGTTCGGGACGGTTTGAACATTTCTTTCAGGAAGATTTAAATCAAGAGTTAATTCTCCCACAGTAGGTTCTTGTACAGTTCCCAGGAAGGTTCCGCTAGGTTTCGGGCAGGTTCTTGTGCAGTTCCCAGGAAAGTTCCGGCAGGTTTCAGACAGGTTCCCGTGCAGTTCCCGGCAGGTTCCCGTGCAGTTCCCGTTCAAAGTGTTGACAGATTCTTCCGCAGAAGAAAGAGACAAATATATCTTGGTTGTTGAACCCAATGACTTAGTTCATCCAGACACTTGGGAACCAGAGATTATTATCACTTGTGCCATGGACAAACACTTTGACGCAGTCGCTTAGCGACCCTCTCCAAGACTTGTTGCATGGTCCGCACAAAAGCTCGTGAGTCAGGAGCAGGGATACCAAGGTACTGCAGGTTGATTGTAAACACCTCCAGGAAATTGATGCACAACCTTGTCAATTTCGGTCGATCATTGCCATATGCGCAAACACGATGGTCCTGAATGTAGAGCTTGTCGTGACAATCCATGTCCACCCAGGGTGTTACAAGCCAAAAGAAACTATTTGCAGGGTAATGTAATTCGTTCATCCAGTATGAAACCGTGGGAGAAATTACCTTTCAGTCACAGCCCCCATAGATGAAAGCCGGGACTAAGGGTCAAGGCCACAGTTCAGACCGGATTTCTATTACCAATCTGAAGATGTTCTATTGCCAACCTCACGAAGGTCGTAAGAAAGAATTAACTTGCGATTTAAGTCCTTCCACGAGGATGCTAGCAGCTGGAAGGTTTATAAATTTGGGCAAAAAAGAATTAACTCGCGATTTTACTCCTTCCATGGGGCTGTTCCAATGCAATAACCATTGCAGACACTACAAGAAAGCCTGGGATAAAATCGCGAGTTCACTCCTCAAACCAGAAGGTTGCCCTGGTGGAGCATAAATTTTGAAGTTTAGAATTTTGCAACTCCTGTTTTCACTCCCTTCCATTAGATGACATTACATGACATTACATGACATTACATGACATTACATAACATTATATGACATTACATAACATTACATGACATTACATGACATTACATTACATACGTACGTACGTACGTATGTACGTACGTACGTAGGTACATACGTACATACATACATACATACATACATACATTAATTACATTACATTACATTACGTTACGTTACATTACATTGCATTACATTACATTACATAACATTACATTAAATTACAATACATTACATTACAATACCATACCATACATACATACTACACCCAACCCACCCCACAGGGGGGGGGCGGGGAAGCAGAAGTACCTTGCATGATAGTTGGATTCCAGGGAGGTAGTACACCCAATCCTAGGAACCATCCCCATCGCGGGGGGGGGGAGGAGGGTTGCAGGCCTGTACCATATATATAATTAATTTAATAAATATCATTAATAATCAAATTTAATTATATTTAATATAATTTAATATATATAATTTAATATATAATTTATATTAATAATATATTATTAATTTTAAATTTAATAAAAATTAATTAAATTATAATTCTATATATAATTAAATAAAGATTTATTTATTTATTATATATATATTATTATAAATAATATATATTATATTATGCAATATTTAATTTCATATTATATTTATTTTATAATTATTAATTATTTAATAATTATATATAATTGATTATATAAATTATTGTTTATTGTAGGTAGGATAAATTTCGGTATATCTATATATATTTAAATAATATTAAATATATTTAATATTACATATATTTAATATTAAATATATGTAATATTGTTACCAATTACCCAAGGGTTGCCATTTTTGTAGGCACTGCATTGGGGAGCTGGAACCTCTGTTCACAAAAGCCACCATCTCTTTACAAAATAAAGGCCCTAAGTCCTAAGATGTCGTTTCTTTTTGGCCGGGATAAGCTTGGTAACCTTGGGTCCTTTTTTAAAAATATGTATTTCACCTAATCCCAGTGTAAAATAAAGCCCTATGACGATATATTGCAATCCAAAATAATCCAGGTATTTTGTTATCCCTGCAAGAAAAATCTAAACGCCGCCCTAAACCCAAAAAATTCGATGTTTCAAATGATAGGCCATAGTTCACTATGGTTAATGTCGTTTAGGATGTCTAAAATGAAAATCAATGGGGTGTGTTTAAAATGAAGGCCTATGGCCTACTGCCAAAACATGCTAGTAGGGACCTGACTGAAATTTATTGCGTTTGAGGCCGACAGGCATCCTCATTTTGAACAGGAAATCTACAAGGATATATATATATATAATATTGATAAATTAATAATAATCATAGTCATATATAGCAATAATAATAAGTTCATATAATTTGTGTAAACTATTGTTATTCTTATGGCTTTGCCATTCCAATTCGGCGCTATTCACGCCGTCGTTGTCTTCTCGCTGGGATGGCTACATTGGCACTAATCGCGAGCGAGATGAGCAAAGGGTCGGTCACCCGGTCGGTCACTACTGCTCAAGCCGGATGAAAAAGTAGCCTTTGAAGTTGCCTTTGAAGTTGCAGCGGCTGCTGAGGGTCCACCTGGCGCTGGCATTGCAAGCCCTGACTTTGAAGCAGGACTTGGTTTTGAAGCCACTGGACTTGGTGAAGGACCTGGCCCAGGACGTGGCGAGGGTCCACCTGGCCCTGCAAGCCCACCTGGCTTTGGAGCGGCTGCAGCAGGTGAAGGCCCTGGCATGGAACCTGGCGAGGGCCCTGGCGAGGGTCCACCTGGCCCTGGCCCTGCAACCGGCGAGGGTCCACCTGGCCATGGCCCTACAACCCCACTCGGTTTTGAAGCTGCTGGACCCGGTGAAGGCCCTGGCATAGGACCTGGCGAGGGTCCACCTGGCCCTGCCCCTGCAAGCCCACTCGGTTTTGAAGCTGCTGGACCCGGTGAAAGCCCTGCCATGGGACCTGGCGAGGGTCCACCTGGCCCTGGCCCTACAACCCCACTCGGTTTTGAAGCTGCTGGACCCGGTGAAAGCCCTGGCATAGGACCTGGCGAGGGTCCACCTGGCCCTGCCCCTGCAAGCCCACTTGGTTTTGAAGCCGCTGGACTCGGTGAAGGCCCTGCCATGGGACCTGGCGAGGGTCCATCTGGCCCTGGCCCTGCAACCCGACTCGGTTTTGAAGCTGCTGGACCCGGTGAAAGCCCTGGCATAGGACCTGGCGAGGGTCCACCTGGCCCTGCCCCTGCCCCTGCAAGCCCACTTGGTTTTGAAGCCGCTGGACTCGGTGAAGGCCCTGCCATAGGACCTGGCCCTGCAATCCCACTTGGTCTTGAAACTGCTGGACCTGGCGAGGGTCCACATGGCCCTGGCCCTGCAGGATTTGAAGCCGCTGGACTCGGCGAAGGTCCTGGCACAGGACCTGGTGAGGGTCCACCCAATCCATGTCTTGGCTCAGCATGCGTCAAGGCTCTAGGACCAGGAGGGTCTGCTGATCGAGGTTCTTCTTCTGGGTGTGGCACTGTCGCAAAGCGCTTGATCACCGGTGGCTCCGATAAACCTGCTGTGCTGAGGCTGATTGGAAAGAACCAGGTTATCAAACACATCCTTAGATGAGCAGCAGGGATTTGTGGACATTATAATAAACAATCACCAAGGTTCCAGCCTAGGCCATGGGAAGGAGAGTCCATGGAAAAGGCTACCTACGTAGAAGATTATCACAAGATCAAAGAACATGCAAACATTGTTGAAATCACCAACATACCCATCTTTGAGCGTAAACACGCCATTTGTTTCTGGAGCATACATTTCACTGATGGTTGGAATCACACATATCATGAAGATGTCACTACAAACCTTGAAACAAAGGTTTTGGTCTACTTCGGTTATATATCTGAGAAAACATCCCCCAAAAGCCATCAAATCACAGGGAAAATGACGAATAAACCGATAGATTTAGTACCATTCTCAGAAAACCTGAAATTGTACCATGATATCCTCACGAATATCCCATTATATCATAAGATCTCATGAAATCAGCATTTTCAGGTACCGAGCCCAGCTTCAGACCCCATCTATTGTTGGTCATATCCCCATTCAATTTCCATTGCTCCCACTAAATCCATATTTGTGTTGGTGAAATCCCCATTCACCATGGCTAAATCCCAATTTTTCATGGTTAAATCCATATGTTTCTGGGTTAAATCCCATTTGTTGGTTAAATCACCATGTTTGATGCTTCGAATCATTAAATCACCATATTTTTGTTGGTTAAATCACCATTAATCACCCATTTGTTGGATCACTGCAGTCACGCCTGGCAGCAACGTGGAGAAGATCTTCCGAGAGGCTCTTCGCTGGTTGGGGTCCGGCAGAGGCACCGAGACCTCCGGAACGTCCTGCACCAAGACTGGTTGGGGTCCACGGAAGATATGAACCGGGAGAGACGTGGAGAGACTATGCAACGAGGTACATACAGTAATACATATATATATATATGTATACTATGTGACTATACATATAGAATCATATAGAACTTATAAAGTACGAGTAGCTCTACCATGATATACCATGATAATCGACCATTTGCAATGATTTGAGGTATAAGTGGATTTGGGAGATATTTCTTCGTTGGAATTTCATTGTGGCAAAACGTTTTGCTACAAGATTTTCCAGTTTGCATCATTTTTGTTGGAATTTCGTTAGGATTTTGTTGAGATTTTGCTGGGAGTTCGTTGAAATTTCGATGGGTCTTTTGGCCTAGGTTTGTCACCTACTTGAAACTTGCGGCAGCAAGCGCAGCAATCTTAGCAACCATGCGATGAAGTTATATAGACAAACCCTTGCAGCCAATTCAACGATGTTTTCAAACACCTATTTCAACAATATATTTTGGTGACAAATCCTGCCGCAACACGTTTTGCCACAAGCAACATTTGGTTAAAATGTTTTTTTTTTTTTAAATGGTGTGTTTGGCAAAACGTTTTTTTCCACAACATTTTGCCACCAAGAAATGTCGCTGGATTTTTGTTGAAATTTCGTTGTTATACACTGTACGACCCATGGCAAAACGAACCCGCTGACGGGTGGGATTTTCCCCGAAGCCATCCACGCATATCCAAACTCTCAACGTGTGTGACAAAATGGGTTGCCACATTTCTTTACCATCATTGCCACAAATAAAAAAAAAACGTTTATACCAGCCCATTGCAAATCATGTAGAAGGACATTACAATATGCAACTAACTATATATCTATATAATTATATATATATATACATACATATGCATATTCAAGAGAGAGTATACTATAATTACGCCAAGTTCATTCTTTTTGGTGGTCTACGACAGTCTTTACCATGTTTGCATTTTTCAGGCATCACCAATTCATCTATGGCTACAATTTATCAAGTTATTCTTCGGTTTACCACCTCAAATCCCCTAAAACAAGGTGGTGACGAGGCCCTATACATGGTGTATGGCGAATATGTCTATAGTATTCTATAGTCTGTAGTTCATTGGCTTTATGACCATCACTCTATAATAGCAAACACCCCCTGCAAAAGCTGTGGTTTAGTATTGGCTCTATTCATTTTGGTGGCGCTGTCCATTTTGGTGGCCCATATGAACAGTGATCAACATCCGCTCCACGTCGTCCTTTTCTACTGGCTTTATTTTCGTAAGATTTATCATCATGGATGGTGATACTCCCCAAAATATTGGATAGTGAAAACCCATATAACATAATCTAATCCCATTGGCCCATAGATAGTATAATCCCATAGTATGACCCCATAGTATAACCCCACAATGACGCCACTATCGAATAGATAGGTTGCCACGTCCTCCGGCATGCTAGGTAGTGGCGCCTTGCCGGTGAAACGTTGGACCGGGAAGGGATCCCCAGAAAACTCAGAGATCGGGAAGACGCATCATGATCTACAAAATCATGGGTTTTTATATGTTTTTCAATGGATTGGTTAAGGGAACACTTACAGGAAAACCCCATATTTAATGGGAAAATCAATGGTTTCCTGTAGATTTTCCCTTAAACCAATCCATTGAGTTTTTGTTTGTCTTTCTTTTCTGGAGGATCTGCATATGATGATATGTATATATATATGCACACATACAAATAATCACCAACAGAATCATGGGTGTTGCATGTCCTTGATAGGTTTTACCCATCAAATTTGTATGTAACCAACAGTTGTTGGTTCTGGTTTATCAATTTGACGGATAAAACAATGGCAGCCACCATGAAATTGACAACAAAAAATAGAACAGATTATCCACAAACACTGGCATACAACATCTTACAACCAAGAAATATAACTACAACTACACACATCTGAATATGTACATGAGTGTCACCAATAGATTGAAAACCGCGGGAAACTGCACTATATATATGTATATATACGGGAATATATTTGAACATGACAAACTCGAGGAGTCACCCCGCAGCAATGGGTAATTATCCAATCAAGAGGGAACTATTATAAGAAGGTACAAGTAACCAGCAACGGGAAGGCATGATAGAAACAAAAAAAAAGAGTTATGTGCCTACAGTTGGAGCATGCTATGGCAATTATGGTATGTTTGTCAGCAGGGGTTCCCCCACCTACTGTGCATCAAGCGCAATTGGGATTCAGTTGGAGATAATAATAGACACATATAAACATACGATTCTTTGAACTCTATACAGCTGACGAGTCTCTATCCGGGCGAGTGAAATAGGACACAACCACCCAAAACTGGGGATGGATGCTGAGAATTGCTACCTAATCGATATTGAATCTATATGGTATTCAGAGTCTCAAACTCAGCACCCAAAGCAAAACTGGGGGTGCATGTCGGGTCACTATATAAATAATAATGTATGTATACATATATATATATATAATAATATATATATAAATATACATAATCTGTAAAACTTACAGTACAACCAAGGTTGTAAACGCCAACAGTTGGAATGTAGCCAATTATACTCATTTCCATATGCCCAGGACAAGTACAGTATGTGGAACTGCACTTCCAAGTATCATTAATGTTTATAATTGTAAAGCATGTACACTGCTATCTTCCAACAAAAACTCCAGCAATAGGTGTATTCTGCCCGTTGCTCACTGGCCCAACCATGACGAAGGGCCGCAAAGAAGGTCTTTTCTTCCGGAGGCCCTTGCTTTTTGGGCGAAGGGGTCCTGAGATCGCAGGTCTTCAACCGGAGAACAGGCAAATCCAGGCTGCTTATATGTATATGTATATATGAAACATGTTCTTTGAAACTATTGTGCATAAATAGTTATTTTTTAACAAAAATAAATAAACAAATAAATTTTAAAATATATATATATACACACATACATAAACGTATACCTATGTACTGTATGTATGTATGTATGTATGTATGTATGTATGTATGTGTGTATGTATGTAATGTATGTATGTATGTCTGTGTGTGTGTATGTAAGTAAGTATATATATATGTTTATGGCACGGTAAAAACACATATATCCCATCTTTATACGCATACAGCCCATCTCTCTGAAAAAAATATATCAATCTATCCATCTATCCATCACTACGAATCTAACTATCTATGGTCGAAGGAAGTTTAGAAGTCAAACTTCCGACAATATGGACAGATGAAAAGCAGAGATGGGAAGAGTCAGAGAGAAGAGAAGAATAGAAGAGAGAAGATCGGAGAAGAGAAAGAGTCAGAAGAAAGAAGATGCAGGTGCGCGAAAAGGTAGAAAGGTTGTGCATCACTGTGTTTTTCCAAGGGTCGAAGAGTAGTTCGCTAAAGTAGCGGGTGCGGAGCCATCTGGCCAGATGAGAGATGAAAAGTTGCACGCCGTTGTGGCGCGAAGCACATTTCCAAGTCAAAATGCACAAAACACACCATGCTCGGAGCACTTTTGGAAGTTGAAATATCGAAAAAGCACGACGTTGTGGCGCGAAGCACATTTCCAAGTCAAAATGTACAAAGCACCTGAACTTCGGAGCACTTTTGGAAGTTTGGATGTTGAAAAAGTGCACGCTGGCGTGGCGCGAAGCACATTTCCAAGTCAAAATGAACAAAGCATACCATGCTCGGAACACTTTTGGAAGTTGAGATGTCGAAAAAGAGCACGCCGTTATTGCCCGAAGAACATTTCGAAGTCAAAATGTACAAAGCGCAGCAGTTCGGATCACTTTTTGAAGTTGAGATGTGGAAAAAGTGCAGGCCGTTGTGGCGCGAAGCACATCTCGAAGTCAAAAGTGTAAATAACTGACGGTCTCGGACCACTTTAGGACGTTCAGATGTCGTTTCGCGTGGCAAGCGCAAGGGATTCTGCACCCTGCTAAAGGTCAGCAAAACGTGAAGGTTTTGTAGCAGTTTCAACTACAACCACCACTACACTACACTACATTCCACTCCGCTACAACTACAACTACAACTACAACTACAACTGCCACTGCAACTACACTACATTACGCTACACTACACTCATTATATTACACTCACTACACTAAACTACACTACACTAAACTACACTACACCCCACTAGACTGCACTACATTACAGTACAATTACTAACGACAACTGCAACTACAACTACAACTGCAACTGCCACTGCAACTGCAACTACATTACGCTAACTACAGCTACAACTGCAACTACAACTACAGCTACACTACATAACACTACAGTACACTACACTACACTAATTACATTGAACTACACTACACTACACCACACTACGCCACATCATACCACACCACACCACACTACACTACACTAAGTACAACTACTGCTACAACTATTACGCTACTTTACACTACACTGCACTACACTAGACTACACTACCCTACAGTACATTACACGCACTCATTACACCATCACAAATGCAACTGCAACTACACTACACTAATTACACTACACCACTACTACAGCTCCACTACACTACAACTACAACTACAGCTGCACTACACCACACTACATCCAGCAGTTGTGGGTGAAGTGACCGACCAGGTGACCACTGCAACCATTGCAACCATTCCAAAAAACACAACTCCAACCACCTTTGGGTCTATCAGTGGATTCGCTCTGCCATCCGTGATTTACAACAACCAACCTCTCCTATTTTTTGCCATGAAAATGGTAATGGACACGGTTAAGCAGTGGCAATTTGGAATTCCAATGTTCATCAAAGGTCACCTGACAATTCCCAAATGGTCACTTGACAATCTGCCAGGGATTCGGACCACCAACACGACCTCTTCATGTCTATTCGATGTAGCGAGAAACCACCGTACTACGCAAATGATAATGGGATGAACGACTCAATATGGGATTACGTCAAAGCTTAGAACCTGAAAATCCAATGATTCGCATTGGTATCATGTTGGTTTATCAAAATGTTTTTATATGGAATTTAATGGAATTTACAATTTTTCACCATATCCTGTTTCGAGACAAACACACATGGCTATACGGTGTGCACAAATAAACATCCTGCTTCTGGTTGCCGAAACTTGGAAACACAACTTACAGAAATCACAATCGGATACCAGAAATCACAATCGGATACCTAAAATGTGTATAACAATGTATAACAGGTTTCGATCCATCCTCATATAAAGATGGATGTTACTCATACATTACCAGCGAATGGTTCAGGGTTCACAGGGCGCTGGCACAGAATGAGACCGCCATCAAAACCCAAGCGCGGCGGTGTATTTCAGTGTAGCTAGCCTGCTAGCCTTTGATGACCTGTAAGGAAACAAAACATACTATGCATATATATATATATATATAAATGTATGTATATGTTTGCACACATGTGGTATCATGTAGTCATTACCCAGCTATATAATTATATATAGTATACCCATGGCAATCAAACAAGCAACTCCATCGAAACGGCTGAGCACTAATCTCCCCCATTCACCAACGGTTCGTGCAGGTCCCTGCAGGTTTACCGTGGTTGCTAACTATCTCAGCTTTGATGTTCATAATCAAAGTGGTCAAAGTGGGTATGGATACAAATGCTTCTACATATACTGTGTGTATACATATATATATATATAAATACACATGTATGAAGAATACCGCAAACGGGTACAAAATGCATATATTTGACATCTATTTATGTATGATTTTGTATATATATATATATATAATGTATACACATATATATAATGTATACATATATATATACTTATATATATATCATGTATATATATATATATACTGTATCTATATATATATATATACATAGACAGATATGCACACCCTTCATGCTCCCTTACCGGCACTTCCGTAGCCCTACTACAGTCCACGTTCCCAGGCCTGACTCGGCGTCGAGGGCTTAGATCAGTCAGTGTGTCCTAGGCATGAAGAACATCATCCCAAAATAAATAAACATATACCCAGTTATATCAAACCCAATGGGGGATTTTCTATTATTATTGTTATTATATATATGACTATATATTCTTATTATGACTATTATTATTATTATTATATATGACTATTATTATTGGGCTTATCGCTTTTTTTGGAGCGCTTATTGCCTCAATAGATTCCCCACATGCTGCACTTGTCAAAGGGAACATCAACACGCGAAAACCAGCAAATCCAAGAACCTTTGTTTTCCATCCAAGTACAGCCCACGACCAGCAGTGCACGATCAACAGCGGTGACTACCCTGCAGCAATGGCTACAGAACTTGACATAGAGATGCAACAAACAGCCGATATATTTTGAATATGGCAATATGGTCATATGTGCCATGGAAAAAATATGGGATTAGTGTGGTAATTATGGTCATCCAAAACATAATGGGCATCCTTATAATTGATAGGTATACAAATTAAATTCTATCAATGGTTCGATGACCATATCTCAATATGAGCAATGTACACAAGTTTTAACCATGATACATATGTTATAACTATTTTTTCCCGCTCGAACACAACATACTCAAATCTACAAACGTGGAAAGTTACAATCAATGTAGTAACATCATGAGATACAAGAAGGGGTAGCCTCACCAACAAACATTAAGACTTGCATGTTTTTTTTCCCTTACCCCTATGCACCAGTACTTTTTCAGACTTCCCCCGGTGGCCCTGTCGCACTGAAAAAACATGAACAAGTTACCTTTCAAAAACATGTCCAGCCATCAGTTTCCAACGGCACTATATCATTTTATTGATGTTCTACGACCTTCGCTGGCCAGAGTTTTCTCTCGATCTATGTTGGCCATAGCTCTTTGAGAGTCAGAGTGCTTTGGATTATTTCATCAGCCTAAAATATCCCAAGATATCCCAAGTATCTGGGTATATCATGGTATATTTTAGTAGATCTGGCTATTCATAGAACACATCATATTGACACTAGCAGTGCAGCTATACATGTTCTTGTGAACCACTCATGACCGTCCGCTATGATATCTATTCTCGAATGCTATGAGAGAACTTCCATGAGACACTTCCATGTCAAATGGCTACTGTGGATGGTTGCGAAATCCTGCACCATTGGATAGATGGTAAACATCCCATTATTTATAGGGTTTCAACCATCCTTTTGGTGGTGCTAGTACCAAACAGTGACCAACCAACCGTCATGGAATAACCACATGTGTCCCACGGGTGAAGCACAAGGATTGGAAATGAAGGGTGTCACAATGAACAACTGACCTGCATAAAATGAAGGGTTTCAGCGAAACTAACAATGCTACTTTCAACATTTTGAAAAACTCATCTGGTTGGTGGTTGACCTACCCCTCTGAAAACTATTATACAGTCAGTTGGGATCATTAGGGATCATGGGATCATTATTCCCAATATATGGAAACAAAAAAAATCTTCCAAACCACCAACCTGTGATTATTGGCTTTGTCGGAAACTTTCGGACTCTCATGCATTAAAAACATGTTCCTTGACAAAACATGGTGAGTTTAGTTTGTCTGGAAATACACGGTTTATCACAGGTTTTCCCATTAAAGTGGCTATTTAACGGTCTACCCCATCATCAGTTCCTGTTATCATATATCCTGTCATATCATATCACTATTCCCATATCATCGTATCATATCCCATATACATGTACGATAACGTATATACATTTGCATCTTCGTCTTCTCACCTACCTTCCCGAAAGATCACATTCCCAGTCACATCTCCGCAGTAACTTCGCTAATCTCCCAATTTTCCAGACGTTTCATGAGTTGTTTTACCATCCCCCACCACTGCCCCGCCATCCCCAAGGGCTAACCGCCCAGCGTCGGCCGTGGGCAGCGACTGCCAGGAGAAATCGCGGACCACCTCCTCCGCGTCCTCGTCGCGCAAGGACCGGCGCAGCTGCACCGGGGGGCCCCGTGGCCTGGTCCAGGGACCGGATGGGACCGGAGGACCGGGAGGTCCATGGGGGGATCCCCAAGAGGCTGGATTTAATGGGATTTTATCGTGATTTAATGGGATTTTAGATTGATTCAATGGGATATTAATGGAAACTACCCTCTGGTAAACTAACATAGCTATTGAAAATGGCCCATTGATAGTTGATTTACCTATTAAAAATGGTGATTTTCCATAGTTATGTTAGTTTACCAGAGGGTAGTGGAGAATTGGGGATACCATGACTACGGAAACCTCCAAAAATGGATGCTGTGTGGAACTTAAGATCTGTTTCTGAAACGACAGAATTGATACTTCAGAATGCGGGATTGAATAGACCAAATGGTGGATTTAATCAACATGAGGATTGAATCAGTGACATGTCGGATTTAACCCAAACATAATTCAATCAGAACAAAAAAGTGATTCATGCATTTAGTACTAAACACTGAGAATCTAAGCAACACAATTGGGAAGTCAATCAGCCCAATGATGGGTCATGATGGGTATCATGTACCCACAATTGCCCTTTGGTGGAAGTTTTGCTTGGGGCACTGGTAATCTATCTTGGCAATTTCAATAGAACATCCTCAATCTATAAACTAGTTTCCAACAAAAAGGAACATCCTCAATCTATAAACTAGTTTCCAACAAAAAGGAACATCCTCAATCTATAAACTAGTTTCCAACAAAAAGGGGTATATATATACAGGATATTTCCCAGCTAACCATCTTTGATTTAAGGCAGGGTAAATAATTTCATTCAGTACATGTCATTACCATTAATCACCAGTAGTACTAACTAGTATTATTAACCACTATAGACACAGTAGTATTGACCATTATTAACGACTGTAAACCCTTGAAAAACACCAAGATACTTGTACTATCTTGTACTGTGCCTATGGGGGACGAAACTCCGGTCGCCAAAGAGGATCCAAAGATGTTCCGAATCTTGTACTGGTCGATATAGCTATCATGTGCCCAACAATTAATGTAAATATTACAATATGTAATCAATATGTTTAATATTATCAATGTTCAAATATTATGTATATGTATATATAATATTATTATATGATGACATTGTGTAAATAGTATATGTCATATATCTATAGATGCTATATGTTATATTATTGTATATACGAGTACCATCTAATTAAATATTTGACTTAGCTATGTAAAATCATTTTTTCTGCATTGAACTGTAAGTGGCCATAGCTATGTTGATTTACTACAGGGTATGTTATGGTTGCACAGGTCTTCAACACATAAACCATCGGGTTGGACTCGGCGACCCGCCTACCATAGACTGCCATGCTGACACCTTGCCTCGAGCAGTCGACCCATTTTGGGATCCCACGGAAGTTTCGCTGGTCGAAGTGGCAATGGCAGATCCAGGTATTCAACAGTTCGATAAAATGCTGGTTGGTGGTTTCAACCCTCTGAAAAATATGAAAGTCAGTTGGATGATTATCCCATATATGATGGAAAATAAAAAATGTTTGAAACCACCAACCAGAATGGGTTCTAGCCTTTCCCAAGATTTCTTAGGGCTCTACTTGAAATCATGGTACGAGTACGGGTAGAAGCAACTCTAAATTTCTTGGGGTTTTCGCATGATTTTCTATCGCAACGTTTGGTGATCAAAGCACAACAACTCTCCCACACTTGGCTGAGACGTAATTGTTGTTTCTGTCATTTTCACGACGGCATGCACATGGAATCCAAGTTGCCATTTTTTGCAGGGCTGACTATCATCTTACCTCATATTTGCAGCTGGTTGATATCCCTATTTATCCTTCATAAATCTTCATAACCGTAGAGGTAACATCGGCTCATGCAATTCCATTGTTGGGTCTATGGATTTAAGGGAATATCTACAAGAAACACATATATTTCTTAAGCTTCAATAGGGGGAGGTCCTGCAAAATGTGTCATCATTCATTTCTGATATCGAGATCTTTATTGGCGTTGATACCCTCCGGTAATCAAACATGGCTTGCTGGACAATTCACAATCTAGTTCGATGATTGTCGCAGTTTGAAACCGCCATGGCTAGTTCGGGGATTTCCCAGCCCCGCCATGTTTCATGACAATCATTAACATCGATGCAATCCCCATCAATATATACTTGATTATCATATTTGATTCCTATAATTCTGGCTAAATCATCATATTTCACTAACCCAAAAATAAGGCCATTTGGAGATGATTCCCCTTATCCATGATGGGTTCAGTCACCACTGTGGTCATCACCCGTCGCACCAGGAACCCCCAGGACCCGCAGGACCCCCTGCCCCGCGCGTGAGGTCTTCTTGGGAAGGCGAGTGCCGCCTTCACAGCGCAACTGGAGGTCCAGGGTCACATAACCTGACGCCAGTGGGAAAGAGCTTTGGGAAATTCAGCCAAGACATAGACATAGACATGGAAAATTGTAGAAATATGTCTGGAAACTGGGCTGTTGAAAAGTACATATATAAATAAAGTAAGCAGGGATACTCTGACACAATGCGAAGTTTTTGGTATCAGGTATAGACTCAACACCAAATATAGAAAGGAATTCTGGTCGGAGGATCGAGAAAAATCTGGTTGATGCTTGTCGCGGTATGAAAACACGTAGGTACATGATTGTACGTGTATGTAACAGAACCCAAATCGGTACCATGGTCTTACTTTTTTCCCGTTCACTTCTTGAGTTTCCGTCATGAAACCTACAAATTAATGTCATATCCCTACATGTTTTTTGTTCTTGCATTTGCAGGTCCACAAGTATAGTATATTATAGTATATACTCCTACCCTCTGGTAAACTAACATAAGTATGGAACATCACCATTTTTAATGGGAAAACTCACTATAAATGGCCATTTTCAATAGCTGTGTAACAAATTACCAGAGGGTAAGTATCTCTGTAAGCATATTCTAAGGTTCTCATCCATGAGATCCGGGGCCCCGACCGCAAAGGCGACCTAGGCCATGGAAGCGAAGTCAAGGGTGGGGATGTACTCAGAAAACCGGGGATTTTGGGTGGGATTAAGGGTGATTTGATGGATTTTTGATAGGATTTTTGCTCGGATTCTGTGTGATTCAATGGGATTCAATGGGATTTAAGATGATTTAACAATCAACAGATTATCAACCGGGATTTCATGGGGATATAATGGATTTCACCAACAAAATGGAGGGTATAAGAGCTATAAGACCAACATGGAAGATGATGGTGGATCTTGTCATCTGTCAGTCATATGGTAGACCCCATTCAAAAATCAACATCCGATTCTGGAGCGGATACACCGCCCATTGAACATATGTGAAAATGGCGCCTGGTCACATGGTCTATTTCTTATTGGATTTTGCGCATTGCATTTCTCCACTAAGCGATACAACGATAACTATGCAACATACTTTTCACAGTAAAATCATGTACCGGTAAAATATGCCAGCACCAAATGGATCCAAATGGAACATATGCCACTCCAATCTGCTACTGACTTACTTGCAGAACCATGCTGCAATCGTTTAGCCAAAAGGATCCCCTAAGGTCTTTGTGAGTCGGAATCGTTGATATGGCCAATCGTACAAACCTTGCCCCTCCAAAAAAAAGGTTCTAAGATGTTCTAAGGTTTACCATGGTTTACCCCCAAAAAAAGATTCCCTTTTATCACCAAGGTTTCGAAAGGAACTGTGTACAGTACCTCGATTATATAATATAGAATCTATATACAATCTATATAATCAAATATAATCAAAATCATCTCAATAGATCTGATAGATTCTCATAGAATATATCATTTCTGTATACTTATGTATAATCTCCATAGACCTCCGGTTGGCTGAACGCGTCCACTGTCCAGGCGAAGAGACTTCCACGCACCAATGGTACCGTGAGTTCGCCCTCCAAACCCACCGTATCCTGTCGAGCGTTCTGGAGGAGAGGCAGCCATCCTAACCCACAGGGGGCGTAAAAAACAATGTCCAGAAGGAGAAGACCTGTGAATTGTTATTATGTAATTAGATGTAATTAGTTGCATTTGGGTGTGTATGCATGCATGCGTATCTACAAGATTCTACAAATATGTCTGTGTGTAAACAGTTGCACACCTAAATTACACCATATGAGCAATCTCGGAAACTCAAGGTTTCATCAAATTTGGGAAGGTTCCATTACCACAGGTATGCACAAAAATGATGTATGGCAAACTTGGGGGTATTGCTTGAAGGAAAGTGTTCATGATCTATGTATATATATAATATGACTTTAGAGAGCAAGCTGTGCTTCCTTTTTGCACAAACGACGTCAAACAATCAATGTCCGTGGTGACAGAACCTTCACATGAATAGTACCAAGTCTAACCTGCCGATTGTCAGTTCCGGCGAGATCAGTAGCTCAACTCCAGTTGGATTCTCCGCCGCAGAAGCCACAAATTCAACCCCCATCCACAAACCCTAAGCCCTAAGCCAAGACAAGGTAGGAACCCATTATACCCATTCCTACTCATCGAACCAAATCAAGATTTACCATATCATGTCATATCACCAAAAAAAACGACTCAAGAATCCAATATGAATTAAACTCCATTAAAACCTCCATTAAAACTCCATTAATTCTCAAAATCTCCCCATGAGATCAGAAGCGCCTCGATATCATCGTCCACCTTTATCAATGCCTCGCCCAACAACTCCAGATCTTCCTCCGTGCCTCGAGAGATCCCCTTGGGATCCCAAGGATCCCCTTGGGATCCCAAGGATAAAGGAGCAGCGCTCGGGAGATCTTTGCCGGGCAAAGATCAAATTGGATAATTACGATCAATTACAGATTATATAAAATTAATTGTGCATCATATAATTAAATTAGATCAAAATTGGATATTACACATAAATTATATCAATTGGATATATAAAACTTATCAAAACTTGATATAATTGGCATGTGTTCATGAGAATATCCACAAAATCATTTGGGTGTCTGAAAATGGGGGACATTTACCAATTTTTTGGCCATGGCTTCAAGGCTCCGCAATGCTCCGTGCATGCGATGGGAGATATTTTATCCGGGTAGGCACATCTGGGTACTGGATATTTGCCATTTACTGAAAAGGCTTCTTCCAGCAGCTCATGCCCAACGAACATGGATCCCTCAACAGGACCAATCTCTGTGGTCCTCAAGGGTTGAACATTTTGCAAAGGGTCTCTAGCTACCGGAAAAATAGCACCCCCCAAAAAAAAAACGATACATGATACAACATTTGAAAGCAACTCATCGCAATTGTAGTAGGACTCTACAGCTACTTTACCAGTCTAAATGTTAGTATCTTACTATGTTAGCTTGATGTATTCTTATATTTTCCATTATTTTCCTATTCCTGACATAGGAAATTCTTCCTGTAACATCCTTTTTTTGGGTGGATTGTCGCAACACAAAGTTCCCACCAGTCCCAGCGCAATCTCAGAGTCAAGTGACGGCCCGCAACAAGCCGAAGCAAAACTTCATCTGTGGTGAGGAGACGTTCAAACACCTCAGCAGGTCGGCGAATATAAAATCAGGGCGACGACAGCTATGTCATATATATATAATATACATACAATAACATGTAACATATTAATATCTACAGTATATACTATATATATAATTATATATATATATATATATCTATAAATCCATATGTATATCCACATCATTCTATATCTATATAATACCGCTAACACGACGATTCAAGTTGTGGCTTTTTTAGACCTACCCAACTCCGTGCCAAGGGGAATCCCCAGTCGCCATGGCGTTCAATACGAAGTCATGGTCTAATGAGTCTAATGACTTGGATGATTTGGGGATACCCCCATGACTTAGGAAACCCCCATATATCCGAATGGTTGGTATTTTGCAACCATATGTTCCTAAAAAACAATGGACATGGCCAGCAATCATGGAGGGACCCAGGCAACTGAACGCTCAACGGTTTTCAAAAATCAACAATGGAGGAAAGTAAACAAAATAGTATAGCAATGAACTGTATAAACAAAAGCATCCAAAAGTCAAAAATGGATCATCATCTTGCTTCCAAAATGGAGGGATAAGAAAAACACATGATACCACAAAGAGTGGAGCTTGGACCAACTTTTCTGCTCCCCACTGCAATACTCTGCGTAAACTACACAAAATTGAAATTCTTACATACAGCCATACTGGTTGGTGGTTTCAACCTCTCTGAAAAATATGAAAGTCAGTTGGGATGATTATTCCCAATATATGGAAAAATAAAATTCATGTTCCAAACCACCAATCAGCATGAGACCATCACCTATCTTGAGGTAAGCCACTGAGATTGTGAAACGATTCATCCAGAGCCAGGAGACCGACTGATCGGAGATGCTACCAAATTCTGGATGTGGATGATGTAACCGTGGACATATCCGAATTCTGTTTTCGAGCGAATCATCCACACCAAACAACAAAAACATACACAATTTCATCCATTTACCCTCTTGTAATCAAACGTTGCACTGGATCATAACCTATATCCTATAGAGGTTTATAGCTGGGAAATTTACCGAAAAAATGGTGGATTGACAGTTGCCACGTTTGATGACACCGGATGGTACTGTATATCCATTGATATCCATCAATATACCATTACCATGCCACTATCATCTCATTCATATCCCATCAATATCTCCTTATTATAACTTACTATCCCATCAATATCCCCTTATTATCCTATTAACATCGCCTTATTATACCATCAATATTCCCTTATTATCCTATTAACATCGCCTTATTATCCTATTAATATCACATTATTATCCCTATCGAAGCACATTAAGACTTCATCTCACCTTGGGCTCGTTTCGGCGCGATCCCACTGGGCACCGAACCAAATCTCTGTGGGCCTTGAAACCACTGGCCTGCAGGGGCGGAAAACCCAAGCAAAATACAATGGACAGGTACAAAAAGAATATGACGTCAGGCCCCCTCCACCTGACAACTGTTGGACGTCAGGCCCCGGCATTTTTTTGTTATATTGATCTTTATATTTCCTTAGATCGTTGACAGACATTTGTACAGTATGATATGCATAATCATTACAGTTTCAGAACTTAATTCATCTCTAGCATTTTGTTATACATATAGGATTATCGTTCTTACTCACTATCATTTCATCTTTAATTTGTCATTGTGTTTCATATTTATTTTTCACAGCATGCACTCCTGCTAGAATCAAATTGGATCGACAACAACTGCTGTTTCAGTTTCATATGCTCCATAATGTCCGAGTGATTCCAAATCATTTCTGGAAGGTTTCACAGAATGATCAGACCATGCACAGCTGCGCATCTTTGCTATCATGCTATCTCTGTCAGTTGACTTGATGGGTTGGACCCCTCAAAAAATAAAATGCACCCACAAAAAAAATGCTGGGGTCTGACTGTCTGACCCCATTTTATTTTCAGATTTGCTTGATGTTTTTATTTTTTAAGGGGCTCCTGCTTTCTCATTCTCTTTAGGTACACCATAGGAGGATCCATATGTGGATAGATATGTAACATGTTGGACAATTGATATGGCAAGTGGATTTAGCTCCTTGACTTCTATCTTAGGAGATTGATCATGGGAAATATGTGAAAAACACCTTGAAATCTTTACGTAAACAGTGACGATATCTTTTCCCAGACCACCACTTCCCCCTGCCAACTATCCATGGTGAATTATGGAAACCACCAATATATTTGGGCACAATCTCCTTCAACAATCTTTGTACGTAACGTAACCTCCAAACGATGATTATATACTAACCATGTTTACTATCATGATTACGCTGATTAGTGATTAGCATTATCGTTAAACCATGAGAGTGTTCACCCCTAGTTTTTTCTCAACTCATCAACCAACTGCTGCGCACCTTGTGTTCCATCCAACTGTATTTCTCCTCACTCTCCACCTGAAAAATTGGGAAAAACGCTACTATGGGTATATCATAGCATGGGCAAGGCAAATCTAAGTAGATAACACCGAAATTAGATAGTTAATGATTAATGATAGTTGTATCTCAAATTCTATCAACCACTTGAAAGTCACAAACTGCGAAAATCGGTTCTCTACATATCCGCTCCCATGCCATCCTGCCCAAGGGCACGACCCAAACGGAGATGGTTCCCATTACCCTGTATTTTAACCGTTTGCGAACTGGAAAATGGCCAGAAATAGTTACTTGATTTACCCATGGAAAATGGCCATTTATAGTGGATTTACCCATTAAACATGGTGATTTCCCATAGCTGAGTTAGTTTGCCAGAGGTAAGTCCCATAAAATCTATCTATATCTCTTAGTTACAATTGTTTCTCATTATCAATCCCATGAAATCTGAATGATACATACTCGTCATGTCAAACCATCTCCTGAAGATGCTATTTCAAGGCCAATGTCATTGATAGGATATGATCGGAGACGCTCAATGATACTGTCACAATTGGATTGGATACCATCTGCCATGATTCCATAGAGAACTATGTAGATGCATACAGCATACATGTATATACATTGTTTTGTGCTAAAATGGCTTACTCTGAAAATCGCAAGGTGTATCATAAATCCTGAAACTTGACATCAAATGGTGGCATATATATATATATATATATATACAAATGTATATACATGTTCTACATATGGCTGAATCATGACAACATCGCCCCCATGAAACGCGCTGCCTTTCCATCAGGCCTAGCAGCCTCGGTCCGTTGCACCTGGGAAAGGGGACAACGGACGGGTGCCCATGATAAAAATAAGAACAATTACCCCAAATATTGTGAATATTGTGAATATGTTATAGATTTCTAGATTGTTCTAGATTGTTATAGTATGTTATAGTTTAATGTAGTTAATGAATGTTAGTGAACATTTAA